TCGGCGGGAGCGCTGCCGCGCTTCCCAAGCGGCACACTGTCGCAGTGCGCCACCGGGCCGGCCCGAAGGCCACAGTTCTTGATGAGGCTTTGGTCCCTCTAGGTGCTAATACAAGCTCTCTCCTCTTCCCTTCAGACCTAGTGGGAATGTAGGTGGACCCATAGTTTCTGGACTCTTGGTGCTTCACCATCCCTCACTGGCTGCCCTTAGCCCTGCCCGCACCTTGATAGATTTTCATTCTTTAAACTCTTTTTTGCCCCTACTGAGTGAGTCGTCTGTTTTCTGCTGGGACGATTACTGGTACCCTGCCTCTGTAAGAGATAACATCTATTAGAACATTATTTATTGGAATGTTAACATTTATTGGAATGGAACCAAGCTACCAGATTTGGATGTCCAGGGAGAATTTTGGGGAGAGGGAAAGGGATGTTAGAGGACAGGAGTTGCAGAAGGTGGGGAGAAAGGATAGAGAAATCCAGGACAAGTGAATTACCTAATTAACAATGGATCTTTTTGTGTTAGCTTCTTTGACACAAGGATATAGCATCTGTGAGAAACTCTGAGATTTCAAATTTAAAATGTTTCTTATACCAAAGGAAGTGTTAATGAGACCAACTGACAATCAACCAGCTTACAAAGAAACGGAGAAGTAATACTGCATTGGTTTAGTTCCTTTTCTGTCTTCGAAGGTGAATCAAGTACATCCTTGAGACAACCTTCCTTATTTTGTGTTTCCACAATGTAGTACCATATGGTGATTTATAGACCACTGATGCCTGGCCAGATAATTTTTTAACTTTGTTTTCCCTTTTATGTTAAATAAAAATGAAAGCTACTCAGATTTTCTACTTTATCATTGTTTAAAAAAGAAACAGAAAGAAAGAAAAAGCATCAAGTTAGCTCAAGACAGAGTTGATCCAAAATCTCCCACACTAAGTTAGGAAATTGATGAACTAAGCTAAAAAGGTAAAACACAACACTCTATAGTTTCCTTTAGATAGAGCAGATGAAAAATTTTCCTTGAGTGAAATGAAGGACTCAGTGCATGTGTGCCTTCCCTGCAGTTCTGTGCCCATTAAAAGTGCAGATATGAGTGTAGCATCTACTTTTCCTATAGGTTGTAATATTTATATAATAGAAGACTTTGGAACAATGAGAAAAGAGAAATGACATTTTGCAAATACAATTTTAACATTATCACAATACTTCATGTTTACAAAATCTTCTCTGTTGGTGGTGTCCTTTAAGGAACATACCGACTCACACAGTTCCAGTATTATTGACTTACACAGTTCCACAATATTTTTTCTAAAAAATACAGAAAAAAACAAAACTACCCAGTCTCTTCCCAGACTGTCCCACTCGAATTTATTTCCCAGCAACAACTAGCCATCTGATTTCTAACAAACATGGCAGCACAATTTCACCATTTTAAAAGCAAAATAGCAACACTACTAGGATTATAATAATACCAGTTAATATTTATTGAGCACTTACCCTGTGCCTGACCTTATGTGGAACATTTTAGATACATTATCTCATTTAACCTTAATTTTATTATCTCCATGTTACATGGGAGCTCATAGAACCCATGTCACAAAGAAATATAGAAATATGGAATGTTTATCATTTAGGATGCATTTACCTTTAGATAACTGAATACTCAATTCTAACTGGCTTGAGCCCTTCATTCCCTCTGAAGGCTTAGCATTAGGATGGGTTTGAGTGCGGACTTAATCCAGAAACTCTATTTTCTTAGCTCTCCCCTCTCCTTTGTATTCATTATATCCTCAGACTTGTATCAAGATGCCTGCATCACACTGGGGATCCACATCCATGCAGGGCATATCTATAAGAAGAGACGTTTTCCACGACACCCCTAGCTAAATTCCTCTTGATTTTATTGGCTCAAAGTAAATAAGAGGCCCTTTCCTACACCAATTGGCTAGGGGGTTGGAATTGCTGTGACTGACAGATAAATCAAGACTCATCCCTGCTTGCATCAAGCACCAGTTTATAAAAATAGGCAATTTTAGCAATGCTTCTCTCGAGTGCAATTCTGTCAAAGGTAAATTTAAAGATTAGAATATCAGTTGATGTATTCTTCTATATACATTTTAGAATAAATTTTTCAAGTTCCTTAAAATATCCTGCTGGTATTTTGATTGGAATGGCATGGAATTTACAGATTTGGGCAAAATGAACATCTTTACAGTGAGAAGTCATCCCATCCATCCACATTGTGTATCCCACCATTTATTCAGATCTTTTATGTCTTTTAGTAGAATTTGAAAATTTTATCTGTAAAATGTCCAACATACTTTTTGTTAGATTAATTATTAACAAAAGAAGATATGCTACAAAAAAAAAATAAGTTGATGGTCTAGTAGAAATATTAACAAACCAGTGTTTGTTTATATATTACAGATATTTATCTATAAAATTTTCTAGAACTCACACCAAATTATGTCCAACATACTTTTTGTTAGATTAATTATTAACAAAAGAAGATATGCTACAAAAAAAAATAAGTTGATGGTCTAGTATAAATATTAACAAACCAGTGTTTGTTTATATATTACAGATATTTATCTATAAAATTTTCTAGAACTCACACCAAATCTTTGTAAAGTATTATTCTTGCAAATTATTTGGTAATTGTCAGAATTGCTAAAAGTTATTAGGACTATAAGGTTATATATCATGTCATTTATTTAATAAATAATGTACCTCTTTAGGGCTTATTTTCTCCACTTAAGAACACAATCATAGTTTCAATTTTCCCAGGCATGTGGATATTATGGAATTACATTTGTAGGACATACTTATGTTTTTTTCTGGCTTTGCCACCCAACTACTAATAAAGTCCTATGGTTCTCCTTAAAATTTTACCGTATTTGTTTTGAGAATCTCTAAGTTGTGTCTGACTGCTCACAAACAAGTTTGAGTAACTATCCTTCAAAAACCCTAGGTGCCAGCCATGTACCTCCTCATCTCTTCTCTGTCTGCAGTACCTTCCACTGAGAACCACCATGTCCACTGCATATGGCATCCTCTGCAGGTTCCAATACCCCACCTGTCTCCACTGAACCCCAGAGCCACTTCCAACGCAGAACCTCACAAACCCTAAGTGGGTGGTGTTCGCACTGAAGCAAGAGAGAATGACGATCTTCCTTACTTCAGTCCTTCTTTGCACTGGTAATACTGACTATAACCTGGGGTCTTACAGAATTCCAGGTTAAAAACAACTTCTACCAGCAGCCTTTCCTTCATTAGGTTCAAGCACAGTGTATGGGATAGGACAAGACACCCAGTTCTTAAGAAAGTCCTGAATTCTTCCCCAAGCCCTTTCTTACCAGACTCTCAAATTCTCATGAAAATTTACTGCCAAGGACTTCTCATCCTCAGACCCTGCCCAGGCATTTCTGAGTGTCTAGAGTGGACACAGTAAGAACTCAAGCCATAACCCTCTCTAAAGCTGTTTCTTCCTTGAAAACTTTTTTTAGATCAAAGTAACTTTCCAGGTTTATATATGTCAAGATGTTGATTCCCTACCACCTGCATCCAGCCCAGCAATGACCAAGCTGCTGCAGGAGCCCCCTCGTCTCCCCTGCAGGAATGAGGGGGATGTCATGGGCCTCGGCCATGCCCCCTCCTTTCTCCTCCTGCCACTTTACTTCCCTCCCCCTGCTGGTCTCCCCCCCCCCCCACCCGGCCAACTGCTTTGCAACAACATCTTAGAATGTAAAAAAATAATATTAATAAATAAAATTTTTAAAAAGATGTTGATAAAAAATATTTGTGCTAGATAGTTTGCTCTAGGAATTTGCAATGTCCTATTAGTCCCACCACGATGTAATAAAAACTCTTTAGTTAGAAGAGAACCACTGAACCATTTCATTCAAGACACAAGAGAGTCTTCATTAACAGAACTCATATAGATACAGTGACCACATCGATCAAATGAGAATTATGTCTACTTAAAACTTTTTCTTTGTATTGGTTTGTTCCTAGAAACTTAAGTGGGTGATAAATAAATAAATAAATAAATAAATAAATAAATAAATAAATAAATAAATAAATAAATAAATAAATAAATAAATAAATAAATAAATAAATAAATAAATAAATAAATAAATAAATAAATAAATAAATAAATAAATAAATAAATAAATAAATAAATAAATAAATAAATAAATAAATAAATAAATAAATAAATAAATAAATAAATAAATAAATAAATAAATAAATAAATAAATAAATAAATAAATAAATAAATAAATAAATAAATAAATAAATAAATAAATAAATAAATAAATAAATAAATAAATAAATAAATAAATAAATAAATAAATAAATAAATAAATAAATAAATAAATAAATAAATAAATAAATAAATAGGTAAATAAAATGTTCTTATCATGAGTAAGGCCAACACAAGACAATAAAAGGATAAACAAGTCATGACAATTAGATCTATCTCAAAGACTTTTTTAGAAAATACCAAGATTTTCTTGCAATGCAAATTATACTTCTATTGTCATAAAAGTTTTGTGATAACTATACAGTTACTTAGTCATAGTTTTTGGCTTTCAATGTTAGAGGACAAACCTTATTAGAATTTTGCTCAATAATTATCTTTTCCACATTCTACTTCAGTAACCAGTCAAGCCTCATTTTACCAGTTATCTAAAAGTTATTCATCAGAAACACATATGGGCCTTACTAAACAAGAACCACAAAAATATTTTACTCCAACTAAATCAACTTTTTATATTTAAATTAAATAACTCATTGCTATAACATAACACAACCTGGAAATTAATAGCTAAATCTATGTTTCTCCACCTTAGTTCAATGCCTTTTTGACCTGTGACCTAGAAGTAAAACCTTTTGGTTAAAATAGTTATTTAAATCAAGCCTGTCAGAACTAGACTAGCCTAACTGATAGTGGTAATAAGGTATGTAGTAATAAAGTAAACCCACTTTATTAAACTGACCTCATTAACTTGTTTTTTGTCCAGATGGAACACTTGACCAGAACTTGTAGAGGCAATTTCTTCATAGACTTTATATCCAATATGGTTCCTGTCATCACAATCTCCAGTGAGCACAAATACCACCTATAATTTTTTTTAAAAAAGAAGACAGTTTAAAGTGTTTCCAGAAATCAATATATATGTATTGAGCACCTATTATGTGTTATATTTCTAGGCATGTAAAATACATATTTATATATGTTATAATTCTTAACCTTGTACTGGTTAATAGTGAACCCAGACAGGAACATAGTTATTTATATTTCAGAAGTAGGGGCTAAAAGCTATGGAAGTGCCAGTGAGACCAAGACTGTGCTAGATTACATGATATGGCCTCAATTCCTCACCTCTCCCTATATCCCTACACTTTACCAAAGAATTTCGAAGCTTCTCTCACTAAAGAGACAGAGCTTAATTTGTTACCTTTGAATTTAAACTTGGCCATGTGACTTGCTTTGGTCAATTACATGAGGCAAAATGGACATTCTACAAGTTCTGAACCTAGAGTCAAGAAGCCTTGTGTATTTGCGTTTGATCTCTAGCATTTCTGCCATGGCCATGAGAAGGACATGTCTAAATTAGCCTACTGGTCTCAGAAAGAGGCAAAACAATCTGTGAGGCAAAGCCGAGTCACCCCAGAGCCCAGCTTAGATAAGTCAAACCCAAACTATTCCTCAGATGCACAAGTAAGCAAGCCTAGCCTAGATCAACTGAGCTCTGTGAACACGTGAGAAATAAATGCTTATTGTTAAGCCATTGAGTGTTGGAATGTTTTGTTATGCAGCAATAGCTAACTGATACAACAAATAACTCTGACTCAGGCAAGATTCCACATATGAGGGAACATATGAAATATAGCCCTTCTTTGTTAAGCCTACGTTTTTGTCAGTTATAAGCAACTTAATTAATCCCCAATCATTTCTTGTCTGTATTAAAAAACAAGGTGTTCATATGCTATGTATAAATATCACATATATGTTTAATACGTTTAAATGAAATAACGCATACATGTTGGAGTACATATATGTGATTAGAGAGTTATAATTACTGTTATTTGCCACACGTGGAATAGTCAAAGAGGAAAGGCACCCTCTTACATGCTGTATTCAGATGGAAAGGTTTGGGGGTTGATTCCTACTCACTTGTGACTGCTTCTGTTGGATGAGCTGCAGCACCTCATGGGTGAGCCGGTAATCTTTGGACCGTGCATCAGTGAAAACGTAGATGAAAGAACCAGGAAGAGAAATTTCCAAGGCAATTTTTATAGCTCCAATACTCATTTCTGGACAATCACCACCACCCTGTTGAGCAGAGAGAAAAATGTTTAGTTACAACAAGTTGCTTTGCAAGTTTTAGAATCAAGCAAGCTCTCTTCATTTTTATTTTCTGTCAGATTGCCACTAGATTAATCACTTTGGTTGGAAAGGGATGAAACTAAGAAAACCTGAAAATAGTTACTCAATGAAGGGATAGGCTTTATCATTAAACTTTGGAGATTCTACTTGATTCTTCTATGTAGGCTTTCCCCAGGCTCCAAATAGTCTCAGATTCTCATATAGATACCCTGAGCACTATAGATCTAGTAAGGGTCATAAGAACCAAGTATTAGAATTGTTTACACTGTAGTCTGGACGAATTGCAGAATCTTTTTTTGCATTGGATCACAATCAAAACTTACAGTCTTTGGGTATCATCTGTTAAATGGAATGAAACAGAGCATCAGCTGCTAAAAGTTGCCTCTAAATCTGAGAGAGTCCCATTAAATATTATGTCACTTGCTTAATAGTAATAACCTGATCTTCACTTTGAACTTATCTTCTACCTTCTATCACTTATATGCATTCTCAGGGCATTTAGTTTCACAGATAACACTGTTCTCAAAAACTTGTATACTTGCAACTCAGACTGATAGAGTTTGAATGTGTTGTCCCAAAACTAATATGGAAATCTGATCCCCAGTGTGGTGGTGTTGGGAGCTGTTTGAGTCATGGGGGCAGATCCCTCATGAAAGGATTAATGCTCTCTGGAGGGTGGGGGAGGGTAGTGAGTTCTGGCTCTATTAGTTCATAGGAGAGCTGGTTGTTTAAAGGACCCTGGCACCTTCCCTCCCTCTCTCTTGCTTCCTCTCTCCATGTGATCTGCTCATACCCATTGCTGCCTGCAGCTTTCCGCCATGAGTAGAAGCAGCCTGAGGCTCACACTAGATGCAGCTGTCCCAGAATTGTGAGCCAAATAAACCTCTGTTCTTCATAAATTACCCAGTTTCAGGTATTTTGTTACAGCAACACAAAATGGACTAACACAGAGACCATACTTATCACTCAAGTGATAAGTAGGCTAATTTTCCATTTTCAATTTCTTGTTAGACATCTACTTCTAGATGTTCCGTATGTCTCCCCAAGTCAGTGCATCTAAGATGGAACTCATATTTTATCTCAGTTACATCTTTTGGTTAACAATACTATCCGCCCAGATATTCAAGTTCCAAACCTGAGTCATCTTTACTCCTCCCTTTACCTCTACCTAATCAGTGGTCAAACCTTGCTCATTCCACTTCCACCATGCATCTGTCCCCCTTCCCTTTCTCTTTACTTCATACCATTCACTCTTCTTATCATTAATTTTGCTACATGTATAGCCTCCTACCTGATTTTCTGTTCTTCCTTCCACTAAACTTTATTTTTCCTGCAGTAAAGAGCCATATACATCACGCTTCTATTGGATCGAATTATCTTTCTAAATTTCTATCTGCTATATATCTCCATAAATCGCTCCCTTGAAGCTGAGACTACTTCCTGTTTTTTGAATATTCCCCTTGCTTCATACTCTAATGCCTTAAGTACTTTTATTCAGGTTATCTTTCTCCTGTTCCATCTCCACCACCAAACACTCCACCAATAAATGCATACCTAAATTCTCCCATTATTCTATAAACTCTCTGATGGCAGGACCTGTACTTGCTGAGTCCTTACGTCCTCAGTTATCTCAGCATCTTGCTGGCATAAAGCAATCACTGAGTAAATATTTGTCCAATGGAACTATTTTCTTCTCAAAGTTGAGATAATATGCTATCCCCTCTTTAAAATTTTCTCTTTCTTTCCAGTCAGATGTACCGCCTCACTTTTCAGATGTATTCTAATATGCCTTACACCTGAATGGTATTTAACATATTTTCCTTTGCCTAACAGTTATTTGAAGGATTATCATGTGCAATGAAAGCCCTTGAATGAGCATTTGCATACCAGGGAAGTGGGAAATAGCTATTAGGATGTTAGTAAATTTGGTATGTTGGATAGAAATCATTTTTTCTTGTAGCCACCTTTTCATATCTGTAATGGATAGTCTGGAATGCTCAAAAAAAAATTAAATCCCTACTGTATATTCAGAAGCTTAAATAAAAACATTCCCCAACTGTGCTTGACATTGTGCACCTGAGTGTGAACCACAGTATAATTTTATCCACTCCACAAGTATTTGTTGAATGGCCAAGCTCCATGGCAGTGTAATTCTGAGAGACTAATTGACTTTTGCTAATTGTCACCTAGTATCAAGGGACTAAGAGAAGTCTTCTGTCTATGGGCCAAATATCAGAACAGCTCACCTCAGAGATTCAAGTGAGGAATGGGAGGAATGATAAACCTTGTCCAGTTACTGAGTGAAGCATAGTCCCTGAGCCCTGTGACTTAGGTACAAATTTGCTGTAAGAGGATCTATGGGTGCCTAGATGCTTAGGCCTCCCTAAACATTACCCAGGAGTAAATTCTAGTGACCATTAGAATACTTGAAATTGGCCCCAGATGAGTCATCCCACTGGGATCCCTCCATAGTTTCAGGATCTTCCTATTATTAGATGAAGCCTGAAAGGGGATCCTAAGCCTTTAGTTAAACATTTTTCCACCCTATAAATTGAATACAGCAGATTAAAACCACATATTAATAAAATCAATAGAGTCAACAACATTTTCTGTAGGTATTAAAACAACCACCTACTGCACTGGATAAAAGCTCCTTTGTGAAACATTGAACCTCACGTATATGAGGTTTAATATTGATTAATTACCAAAGGAAACAGTGTTATGAGCTGACACAGCTAACGGCACAGAGAATTACACAAATATAACTGCGATTAAAAGGCATTCCTTTTATTTCTTGAACTTTTTTCATGCCATGCTCCCCAAAATGAACTTTTTGACTTTTATGGAGCAACTAACAAAGTCTCAAAGCAGCCAGAAAAATTGGGGAATATCAAGTAAAAAGGAAACATTTTGACTCACAGACATCAGAAACCCCCACACTGAATAAGCTTATACATCCTTTTAGAGTGATTTGTGTTGCTGAATTAAGTTTTTCCTGATAGAAAAATCAGTGTATTCTTTCAATAAAAATAACTACTCTTCTCTGAGCTTCACATTAGCAAACACAGATGACAAGTATAGTGTAATCATATTGATTATATATTGAATATAAATGATCAGGAATAAAACTCTTCACAAACTAGTACAGTATATTTAAATTATTACCTTTCTGCTAACTGAAAATCAGAACTAAATGTTAAATAGTAATTTATATCTGAGTGAAACCATTTGTTTATTTCATTGTGAATACAAATTCCTGAAAAGAAAAGGTTTCTCCTCTTTCTGAAAGAAGTGAACATATAATATTATATCCTTATAAAAATTCCCTACCTGATACTTGAGTTTGGTTTTCTAATAATTTTAAGTCATAAGGGACCATTAAAATTATGTGGAATACAAATTCCTGAAAAGAAAAGGTTTCTCCTCTTTCTGAAAGAAGTGAACATATAATATAATATCCTTATAAAAATTCCCTACCTGATACTTGAGTTTGGTTTTCTAATAATTTTAAGTCATAAGGGACCATTAAAATTATGTGGAAAAGGAATGCTTTAGAGTTACACTAATACTCGCAGAGTAGCTATTAACTAGCTTCATGTGGCAACTGAGCACTTAAAATGTGGTCAGTGACACTGAAGAACTGAATTTTTTCCTTTATTTAATTTTTATTGAAATTTAAATTTAAAAACCAAAGCATTGCTAATTTTTTTTATATTGATGACATGCTGAAATGATAATATTTTGAATATATTGGGATAAACACATTATTGAAATTAATTTTAACTGTTCTTTAAAATTATATATGTGGCTCACATATTTTTGAGGAACAGCCCTACTTTAGAATGATACATTGGACTTTGTTATGTAGGCTTCATTCTAGACTGTTAATTGTAAGGTTGTTGCTTTTCTAAAAGTCTCTCATGGGCTTTCTTTCCTAGTAGAAATTATTAGAGGCAAAATTCAAGTTGTTTTAATTTACTAAGGGTCAGGAATCAAGGTACAGTTTATTCTAAAAATCTATGAATCCTTGACTTTGTTTAAATATATATACAAAGTTTATAACAAAGTTTTATATATATATATAACTTAACCAACTGGTTTGCTAATATAAGGGTACCTCAAAAAGTTCATAGAAAGATTTGTACTATCTTTTAATTCTATCTTTCCACAAACTTTTTGAAGTACCCTCATTGTATTTCTCTCACAAATCACCAACTGATCTTCTGATCTTTAAATTTAGTTTGGCAGAATAGAACTAGACTAGAGAAGTACTACCAAAACTGTCCATTTTTATAAATAAGCCTCAAAAAGTCAAAGTCTTGAGGTTAATTTGGGTCAGCCTCATGAATATGTTTTAAAAATCTGGGGTAATGGAAATGTGACTGAAACTATAAAGACAAACAGTTTTAAGTTTTATTTCCAAACTTTAAAAAAAAGTAGTATTTTAAAAGTCACAGTTTCTGTTTTGACCTGAATACCAAACGGGAAAAAAAATGCAAAATAAAAATCCATAAAACGTTTACAATGGAAGAATTTGCAATTGAGAAACCTGAATCTGTGAAAAGTCTCAATACTTTAATTGATCACTTTTATTGGTAATAAGACACTCTACCTGTATTAACTCAATACAAGTCTACCGTGAGCCAAGCACTGAGACAGTATTATCACATAACTATGTTACTTAGTCTTTACATCAATTGATGAAGTGAGTATCATTTGCTAAACATTTTATTGAGCACTAACTCTTGAAAACCCATCCCTAGGGTTACACAATTAATGAGCAGAGATTTGAACTCAATTCTACTTAACCCGAGAGTTCGCACAAACTCTGGTGAGCATTTTATTACCTTCAGCAACTTCTGTAACTACAAACAAGTAGCTTTTCTGAGACCCTGTACAATCAGAAAAAGAAAATTCCCACTCTTCTGGACACCCACAGAATACTGTTCATTCTTTCATTGTAGCACTTGCTGATTTGCATCATAAGTTATGTTTCCTCTCACCAGATCCTTGTTCATGTTGGATGAATGAATGGATAAATGAATGCATAGTAAGTAAATGGGTAAATGAGACTGTGCAAAGCAACCTTGACACCATCCGGGCACATTTGCTATATTCACCGTCAGCTTTACTCAAGCCTCGCCCATCCTATTTCAAGTGACATAATGCCAGAGCTAAATCCCTTAAAAGTACAAGTGCCAAAAGTTGCTCTTTAACCAAGCACATGAAAAAACATATATATATTTACATTTTTAAAAATATAGATTCTGAGGAGTATATAAATCAAACCATAACCATCTCTGATCTCTCTCTCTCCCCTTCCTATCCCCATCCATCTTGGCATACAGTCAGGTTTAATTTTTTTTTTTTTTCCTTTTTGTCTTTTTTCGTGACCGGCAATGGATCGCAACCTTCAGTGTCGCGCCTGTACCAGACCATTCCTTTTTGTCTTTTTTCGTGACCGGCAATGGATCGCAACCTTCAGTGTCGCGCCCGTACCAGACCAGGACCGGCAACGGGATCGCAGCCCTCGGTGCTGTGCCCGCCCCTCGCTCAGCCAGTGAGTGGCCGGTCTGTATGTGGGATCCGAACCCTCGGCAGGAGCGCCACCACACTCCCAAGTGGTACACTGTAGCAGTGCGCCACCGGGCCGGCCCTGGTTTTAATATTTTAATATTTCATAGGAAAAAACAAACATGGCTATGTAAATATATCTCTTAAAACCACACATACACCCACACACACAAAAAAATGAAAGGTGTGATGGAAATGAACTGCATAATACACTAAATTGGACAATACCCTAAATGTATATTAGGAAGTTTCTGACTTTGCTAAGCTTGTGTTTTTATTTGAACTGTGAAATACAACTAATTAGGATCAGTAGTCACACTCTTGCTCAGTATTTTGATATTCATTTGATCTTTATAATTCTACTGATACCTACAACTTACTAAATTACCAAAGACACATCTGATAGAAAAAAATGTATACTGAAAAAAAGGAAGTATGTGTCCTTTCACAATGAATGTTGCTCCGGGAATAAAAAAAATTTTTTTAAAAACTGTAACCTCAGTGTTACAGTGATAATTATGTTCAAAAAATGAATTCCTGGAAAGCAAGGTTAAATAAAATGAACAGAAAATTCTCTCAGTCAAGGGAATGATAAATGAAACACAGATTATCATGCTGTTTTTTCTAAATACAAGACAGTGTGGGAGTATCTCTGGAATAAACTGAACCTTCAGACTCCAAGAGGAGTTGGAGGAAAATGAGATCCCTACCCAAAGCCCAGTGGGAAAGTGCTCATCAAATGAAGGATCAGGGAACCAGGCATGCTAGTCTCAGAGCAGGCACTCTCCCATGTCGTATTATTTCTCTTCTCATCAACCCATTTCAACTCTTCTATTCTTCTATTCCATTTCCATTGAACCAGTTGTTCTCCAAGCACACCTAACTCCAAGCAATCAAACAATGAAACTGTTTTCTGTAGACCTATGCCTAAGTCCAAAAGAATTCTTACTGGCATTGCAATACTTAGCCTAACTCTAACATGAGTATAACCTACTGAATTTTGAGCTTTGTTTCAAAATAAGACTATATTCCTTTCACTTGAAACACCCGTGCTTGAAATGTCTTACTTGTGCAATTTGTCCTATACATATAAAATTTAGGTGTGAAACTCAGTTGCAAGCTGAACAAAGTTTAACAACCCTCAGTTCTCATTCTTAACATACAGTTGTGCTATTCTATGGCTAAGAAAATGGAATGTACATGTGGAAACCATTAAATTACATTGAATCTGATTTAAAGTTGCATCCAAGCAAGTATAAAATAAATCAGAATTATAGCAGAGTTCATCAGTGACATGTTCTGGCCTTCATCACTTGCAGAAAATATGGCAGGGATGTACTGGGAGACAATAAGAATATTGCAGAGCCCAAACCTCAAATCTCTAAAATCAAAATAAATGATGTTACATCTCAAGCAGCCCACCATGCTGCCCTTTGCTGGATAGTTATCACCAAACAAGCTCGAAGGAGTCAGAATCCAAATTAAATATCAAGGAACTGCTGACCTCAATTCCAGGTACATTAAAGTTAACACTTACAATCATTCCTATGCTTTCAGGTTATCACCTGTCAACAGTAAGTGCTTAGCTCTTCAGCAACTGATCTTTCAACTTGCCAGAACTTCTTTCATGGGAGGTAGAGCTTTGTTGGGTCTTCCAAGAAGGTTCAGTTCACTACAATTCAATTATTCATAAAAAATAAGTAACTTGATTTAAAAAATGGGCAAAGGAGCTGAATAGGCATTTCTCAAAGGAAGATATACAAATGGCCAACAGACATGTGAAAAAATGCTCAACATCACTAAGCGTCAGGAAAATGAAAACCAAAACCACATCAAGATATCATTTCACTCCAGTTACACTGACCATTATCAAAAAGACAGAATAACAAATGCTGGCAAGGATGCAGAAGGAGGGGAACCTTCCTACACTGTTGATGGGACTGTAAATTAGTGCAGCTACTATGGAAAACACATACAGCTTCCTCAAACAACTACAGATAGAACTGCCATACAATCCACCAATCCCGCTGCTGGGTGTGTACCCGGAGAAATGGAAACCACCATGTTGAAGGGATACCTGCACTCCCGTGTTTATTGCAGCTCTATTTACAATAGCCAAGAGTTGGAACTAACCTAAATGTCCATTGTCAGATGACTGTATAAGGAAAATGTGATACATATACACAATGGAATACTACTCTGCCATAAGAAAGAATGAAATTCTGCCATTTGCAGTAACACAGATGTACTTAGAGAAAATTATGTTAAGTGAAAGAAGCCAGGCACAGAAAGAAATACTGCATGTCCTCACTTATAAATGAGAGCTAAGAAAATAAACAAATAAGTAAGAAGAGAAAGATGCAAGAATTACAATAATTGGTTGAACTCTCAAAAGGAGAGAACAGAACTGAAGCCAACAGAGGTAGGAAAGGGGGAGGGGGAAGAGGGTAGTGAGAAATTGGTAAAGGATCACAAAAAATAATAACAATGTGTAATGTTGAATATACTAATTATCCTGATTTTAGCATTGCAGGTTGCACACAGATATTGATATTCTAAGCTGTACCACCAAAGATGTGTACAATCAATTATGCTTCAATGAAAAACAAAACAAAAGAAAACAAAAAACCCCACAAATATTCATAAAGAATACAGTATGTACCAGGCACTCAATATCTTGATTAGGAGATCAGAAAATGATGTGCCTTAATACTTTAAATTTTTTCAAAAGCTTCATAATTCATATGAATTATAAAAGACAATGGTCCTTCGAAGAGGAAAGTGGAATGGAGGTAACCTGGCTTAACAAAAATACGACCTCATAGCTTCCAATCACCAGGAGACAAATGGAAGAAGACAGGATTAACTCTAGGCAAAGATGGGAAACCGGAAAGTGATACCTTGACATTCCCAGTCACCCCTTCAGTAATCCTCCCCTTCTCTACTTAGAAAAGTCCTTCCTCCCTCCTTCAAGGATTCTGTACTGTTTATTATAATGTTTTTTCCCATCAGATTAAGATACTGTCACTGCCCTGGTCCTAATCGATTCCTGGTCTCTCCTAACAGATGACTCCCCTGCTTGCTCAGGGAACAAGAGCTGGAAGGGGACAGGAGGAAGGTCTCAGGAGGTCCTAGTAGCCTTTTATCAATTGCTTATTCAGGACGGAGGCCTATACTTGCTCTGGGCAGGCCTTCTTTCGCTCCTATGCCCCTTCTCTATCTTTCCTCTCTGCTAGTCAGGCACTACCTACCAAAATCTCTCTCTTCCTTCTGTTCCAACTCACGTCTGGATTTTACATGCCTTCCAGCACAAGTGGTATTGTCTTTGTTACTGGCTAGATAATGGGGACTGTGATGCTGTAATTTTTCAATTTAATGTGATAAAAATATATTTATTCTGCTTATGTTATTTTATGTCCTGGCAAAGAAACAGTACAATGCATTTTTTACTAATAAAAGCATCATAATTTATGAGACATCACATTATGAGGAAATATGAGATCAACAAACTTTATGTTGTTTTTGAAGCTAGTAGTTATTAAACAAAATTGATGAAATAAGATCTAGATCATCTAAACGGTAGAGACCACATATATGACAAAGCAGAGAAATGAGGATTTAAAAAAATCTACATGAATATAGAAGGATAGAGATTTAAAAGTCTGTATAAGGAAACCTGAAGGGACTTAGCTGATGACTGGACCAGTATTCAATAATGTGATATACCTGGCAAAAAAAGCCCATATCAGCCTCCAGCACCAAACAGAGTTCCCCAGACATCATTTTAGAGGAAGAGTCCCCAGGTATCATCCAACAACAAAGTCCAGTGCTATCAAATACCTAACTAGTGTCATTCAAGTCTAGGGTACTGATAGGTTTCTGGAAGGAATTCAAACATCTGTTGGGGTAAATGGACAAATAATATTCGAAGTCAATCCCAACACTAAAACTTCACAATTCTTAAATTTTTTCAAGGCTTGAAGTAGTTCCCTGAGAATTAACTGCTCATAATTAATTTGAATTGAGAAGAAATGCTTTAATTTTCCTTTATATCCGTTTCATTGAAAATGTGGTTTATAGTTTTCTCTAAGAATTCTATCTTTAGATCAAGGAACATTCTGTCAAGAAAAATGTTTTGACTTCCATCCATCTCCTAAAAACTGACAAAATCAAATATAGTATTTATTGTGGAGAGCAGAACAATCCCTTGGTTGGTTACGTAGCATGTATGAAGTGAATCCAGGCATCATATGTTAGTGGATTCCTCTTTTTAAACGTTATTTTGTCACAGGAACCTGCAATACTTACTGCGCAATGA